TTCCATTGTTATTGAAATTTTACAAATAGAGAAGCAACTAATTATGTTGTTAGAGCTACTTCATGAAAAACAAAGCTGTCAAGTCCGGCTCTAATGATAGCTATACATTTTTAACTACTCAAAGAATATCTCAAGGTATTATCTCCAGAAGGATTATATAGCTCAGGAATGACAGAAAATTCCAAACTGTGCCTGTTTGAGGTAGCTCTCATTTGTATTTGGTCTATGGTCTATAATTTGAAAAGAGAAATGCATTAGTGGAGCTTTTTCTGCCTACAAATTTTTACCATGTTAATCAACATAATGTGCCTCTTTAATTCTGTTAGATGGCTAATGGATTCAAATTTGTACTTCGTTTAGTTAATGTTTTTTTAATGTTCTAGACCATACTGAACTAGACAATAGATGACAGTGCACAGCTCCAGCACTCCTGGAATCTAAAGCAGATCTTTTGACTTGGTGATATCTAGGTGATTTAATACATTCTGCTCCTTTTTATTCTTGCCTGGAACCATTTCCACTAATGTTGCCAGGTATCTGTTAATTGTTTTCTTCTTCCAAATGGTTATCCATGTAGATTCCTAGTTCTCACACATATAAAAGATTGTTTTGGCCAGCAAGTCATACCAGCGTTCTGCTGAATTGTATTTCTCCCGAAGGAGGTAAAAAAGTTTCCCAAAGCACAGAAGTACTTTTTTCTATTATTATTATTATCATTATCATTATTATTTTACTATTTTTGCTATCATCATCATCACTACTAAACATTCATGGCTGCTATAGTCTTTCATTTACCCCCCTGCAGTTCTGATCGTTACCAGCTGAGGGTCTGTGTGGCACTGTAAGTTTCCAGTCTATTTCCACAGACCAGCATCACTTCACCTTTTGAGTCAGCTGTCCTTCCACGAAGAGGCAGTATTGGCCTGTCTTTCCTAAGTCACAGATCCTACAGAAATTAAAATTAACATGAAAACCGGGTGTAGCAATTGATCCTAGCTTTCATTTCACCCAACTCCTGGGGTTAGACAGTGATTGATATTTGTCACATTAATGAATCATACAGAGAGTTCAAATGACAAACATTTGGCCCTGTGGTGGATTAAAAGACACTTGCTGGACAGGGTTCACTGCTGCACGTGGTGATTGTCACAGTGTGCCTTTCACGCTTACTAAAGAGATAATTTTAACCAAGTTGTTACAGCTGCACAGATATAGGCTGTATTCCGAAGATAAATGTCCAGGCTTCATGGTAATGGTAGAAATCTACAGAAATGATGACTTACAAATTAGGAAAAATGTATGCTTTAGATTCTAGGGTATTACAGTTCTTCATGTCAAAATCAAATGGTGTGAAAAACTTATTGCTAACTATGTTTTTAGAGAATTGCAGAAATGTTCTGGTTATTTCATGGGTGACGAGTAAGATAATAACAAAGGGAATTTTATTTTTTTTTCACTGGTATCACAGTACCATAGCAGGACTTTTTTCCCACTTTTGTTAGTAAGTCAGTCTTTTAATTTTTTTTAAATTTTATTTTAGGCTTGTTTATCCTGTGAGTCAGAATGATAAGGAGGACATAGAAGAAACTGTTTATTGCTCTTTAGCAACTAGTTAGCATCAAGACTTCTAGACTTGGCTCGTATTAGTACTGCTAGGTATAAAAGATGCATAACCTGGCTGTTATTCATGACATTGTGTGGTGTAGAAGAGAGAAGTGATCCATCTGGTGCAAGTACCAGAATAATCTGACACGTGGTAGGATTGTTATTGATGCAAAACCTCTTCCTTCACCTCAAGCTAAGGATTATCTTTAGCAGTGAGATATGTGGAAAGGTGCATTCCACCTCTTGTTGGAAAAAATGAAAGAGCATCTGGCCTGAATTTAGGCTGTCTGGCAGGTACCAAGTCATTGATACAGTTCAGTAATGTACAGACAAAATTAAGTGGTCTCCTGATACTAGCAATGCCTGAAGTCCACAGTGCCTGTAGAAAGAGTGCATGTTTATGAAGCTGTCTGTCAGCATTTGGACTGTGGGAATGACTGTTTTCAACAGCAGGCACGTGGCTCTGGTCCCTTGCAGAGATCTCATGCCCTGAGTTCTCAGACATTCTTCTATGAGCTCTCTATCTTTGAGTAGAAGCATCTGTCATCATAGACTTATTTGGCCAGGATAAGATGGGTTTGCTCTTGCAGTTCTGAAGCAGGTCTTTCTATCAGTTTGACAAAAAGATTGTAGAACAACTCTTGTGCATCAGAAATGTCTGCACGGTGGAAACTGTGCATAGAGCATAGATAAACTCTGTCAAAGAATATCAAATAAGAAGGCACCTTCCTACTTAAGCTGGCTCAGAAATCTCAGTGTAGTTTAAAATCATTCTTGTACAAGCATTCATATCCAGATACTGTGAATTTAACACATTCAGTTGAAGTAAAGGGGAAGTCTTTTGGGGTTGCTTTTCTTTTGTTGGTTTGGATTTTTTGGGGAGCGTAGGGGGTTTTTTTTTGTTGTTTTGTTTGGTTTGTTTGGGGTTTTTTGTGCTTTAATGGTTTGGTCCAGCTGATCAGTTTAGCTGATAAGAATGTAATATCCTTTAGTGTCTTAGCAAGATGGTGTTTAAAGGCATTTTGGGAACTCTTAGACTAAATAAAAGACAACCTGAAAGTTTGGGAAGAAATGGGAGATAAAATTGACCTCAGTGTTCAGAAATCAGGGCCATACAAAGATAAATTCTTTGTTACCTGTTTCAAGATCTCCTTAATGACAATGGCTAGAGGAGGAATTGCACAATTACATAGGTGGGTGTTTTGATATAGGAGTGAAAGGCAGAACAAAAGCTATTCCAGGATGTCAGTATACTACTAACAAGCACAATGTTCCTCCAAGTATTGTAGTTGTGTCCTTTGTTTTTGAATACTCCCTTTTTACTAGCAGAACATCCATTTACTGATAAGGGAATGTCAAATCTTCACATTCATGTATCTGTATGGTTATCCATACAGATAATTTTTAGGTCTCATCATAATATCAACTCTAGTTTTGGAAGTTAATTTGAAATCTTTTACTAAGACAAATTATGGGAAATTGATATAAAAAGAAAGAATAGCTGTTTTTCTTACTGTGACATTGTCTCTGTAAACCCTCTCATTCTTCTGTGTTTTCCATGTTTTTGTGGAGTCCTCACAGGTATGAATTTCATCCTTCATTTAACAATTTGTGCCAGTGTTGTAATTTCAAAAAACTTCACAGTAGTAGGTGTATGCTTAACAATAGCCTTAATAGAGTACTGAAATATCTGAAATATTGTCAGGTCAAGTCTAGATATCAGAACAGAAAGTGAGTTTGTCTCGTCATCTTAAGGTAATGCCTGGGTAAATAACTGATAAAGAAAAACTGATGAGATAGAAGCTAAGAAATGAGAATACATCTAGTGCAGAGCCAAGAACAGGAGACAGAATGCAGGAATTCTGAGAAGTAGCTTGGTATGGGCAGAAGGAAGAACCAGCTGTAGCTGGGACTGACCAAGAGAAGAGAGAATGGTTTGCAGGGGCAGGTGGTAGGCACATAGAACAGGAGTCAGGCTCAAAAGCTCAGACAAGAGGGGATCCAGGGAGAAATTATTACAGCCTTTCAATACTTCAAAGGGGCTTAGAAGAGAAAATTTTTTACTAGGGCCTGTTACAATCACATAAGGGGCAACAGTTTTAAACTTAAAGCAGTCAATTTAGATTGGACATAAGGAAGAAGTTTTCTGTGGTGACAATGGTGAGACACTGGAACAGGTTGCCCAGAGAAGTTGTGGATACCCTATCCCTGGAAGTGTTCAGGGTTGGATGGGGTTTTGAGAACCTAATGATAGTCTTCCCTGCCCATGGCAAGAGCGTTGGTCTACACAATCTTTAAAGGCCTTTTCCAGTCACAACCATTCTGTGCTTCTAACTTCTGCACAGATATGGTGCCCCATCAAGGATTATGTTATGCACATAGCAGGCTAAGTGGAAGTTTGCATTCAGCCTTTACTCCTATTCTTTTCCTTAAGTGCACTTGACTTTGCAACTTTAATAATAGTCTTTCAGCTTATAAATTTCTATCTACCTTTGTTGAAGTGTGCGTGCAAAGCTATAAACTATTTTTCCTATTTTTCCTTTCCTCATTCCTGGAATATATTGATATCCTTCAGTACTTCAAAATAACACTGCTTCCCAAGGGACCACATGAATAGAGGGATGTTTGCAAGGCCTTTATGTCTCTGAGTTATATTAATTGTATACAAGTAGTCTGAGAAAATTTCAGAAGAGGTCTTACACTTGCATTGGAGACTGGTAGAATTTTGAGATAAAACCAAAACAACCAGTTTTACTTTTTCACAGCATTAATTATGAGAAATCTTTACATGATTTTTTTCATAGAATAATTGTAACAATATAATGCATCTTAATAATGGGACGTTTCACCAATATAAAGATGACAGATGCATTTCCATCACTTTCTCTGCTAATTTTCCATGTAGCAAGCTAAAGAGAAATTAGAAGAGGAGAAAGAAGTGATGTTAAAGACTTGCTTTCAACTAATTCTCCATAGTGCTGAAGTTTTTGGACATGTTACATCAGCAACATAAATTAAAGCTGTCCCACAAATACATTATGTTGCATTCAGGCTTCATTGATTATCTGTGGGAGAACTTTGCACCATGCTGCTTTAATTCGATTTATGTGCTGTGCAGCTTAGTCCATAAATTTTGAATCAGAGGATCATTAGAAAAAGTAGTTCCCTGTGTGTAGCATAAATGATAGAATTTCACCCTGAGATTTCTGCTTCAAACTGTTGTAAACTATGAACTAAAACCATTTTGTTCGATAGACTTTTGAGGCTCCTTGGCTTCTACATCATGCTCATACATCAGCTTTCTGCTGGCAGCACTAAGATTGATCCCATGCCTGGTGAGTGTGAATAGTGGGAAATTCTTACTTCCAACTGCCTACTAATTCTTTTCCCCCCAGGTATCTCTACTCTCCAAGGAAACAAAGAATTATCCAGCAAAAGAAGAGAATGTGTGCTTCTAAACAATGGGTTTGGAATTGTTCCTGATGAAGTCAACCTGCCTGTACTTCAGCAGAGGCTGATTGCCAAAGGGTCAAGCATTGCTCATTGAATAGCCTACCAACATGGAACAGCTTCAAGTATCATTTCTGGATGATACTCTTTAGCTTTGTTTACAGCATAATCACTTTACAAGAAGCATTGTGAAAAATGCTTCTAGGTTTATACATTAGGAGAAAAGCACAATTCTCAACAGTACATATTCTCTATATTTAGAATTTTTTAAAGCTGTTGCATAGTCAGGTTTTCTGGAATAATGGTTTGGTAGCCTTATTTATATTAATGTATGCCTTCAGTGTAAAGAAAAAGAGCTTTGTAATATGACCAGACAGAAAATATATGTAGATTCACTGTACCAGAATTAGAAACAGATTAAATACCATCAGTATAATTTTAATATTTAGAAGGAACTTCACTTCTTAGATTTGGATAGTAGCAAATTCTAATGCTGATATGACATGTTAATAGTCACTACTTGCAACTAGCATAGCTTCTGAAATCATTGTTATTTTAAAACCAGCTGGTTTTACTGCTATTTCTGTCTTCATATTATATGTCTGTAGCTGCACACTGTCTAGATCTGTGTATATAATATGTATAATGTACATTTATATACATTTTATATACACATTCATTTTACTCTTTAACAGACTTAAGTAAATTAAATGCATTTTTACTGCTAATCAAAAGTACTTAAGGACACTTCCAGAATTCCAATATTTATTCACTGTGTTAAATGTAGATTAAAATATCTCACTCCAGTAGCAGAGAAGCTATGTTTTTGTCTACAACTCAGTAAGGAATTCTTACTAAGTGCACAGGCTTTTCTCTACGGTTGCTACTGTGGCAACCATAATTGTTGCCAATAACCAGGATGCACTTGGTGCTTATCGTTGTTGAAAATTGTTAGCTTTATAGTCATCACATGATTACTTGTAAGTAATTTGATACAGGTGTATGTTGTGTACAATTTTCTTTAATTTTTCTCCAATGGTTCGTTTGTAACTCTAAGTAGCTATTTGGCATTCATTTCATAACCATTTAAGTGTATAATTTTACCTTTGTGACTTCAATGCCCCAAATTGTGAAGCAGTGAAAAGGAGTCCAGTGGACAATGAAAAAACCCCCAACAATTGTAATAAAACTGATCCTCTTTTCACATGTTGAATATGTTGAAAGCCATCAGGCACTGCCTTTGCACCTATACAATGGTGCAATGTTGATAGCAAGAGTCTGTTAAGGGTCAAGGTGTATCATTGCTGAGGTATCACCTGGCAGTGGGTACAGTTTGCACCATCAATCACCACAGATGATACATTTCCTGCAATGATGCCACCCAAAATCGATTTCTATTCTGGTTCAGAGTGTTGGTTTCGCTTTGCTAGAATGAAGAAAGGGAAAGCAGTGTGGTTAAATCTGATGGATTATAAAGAAAATCCGCACTGTATATGACTGCCAATGGAACTGATTACACCGTTATTTTATCCAAAAATCGTAATTTAAATTCAACCGTGATATATTCTACTCAAATTGTGTATGAATTCTAATAATAATTTTCCACTGAAATAGCATATTACAATCTATACTAAAGTAACGTATTTTAATATATTTTTTCAGAAATTTTTATAATTCCAAACGTCCACTGTGCACTGAATGCCTTAGAAATACTTTTGACTTTATTTCAAGTGTGTTTTGAAGTAACATTGTTTATATTTTGTCTGGATTTGTGTGATGTTAATTTATAATTTATGACGGGGTTTTTTGAGAAATAGAATATAATTAATTACTCTTACTGTTATTTTTAATGTATTTTTAGTGCTTTTAACTTTGAAGCAAATTTTGTGCTTGTTTTTGTGACTGTGAGAAGTGGAGTACTAGGTAGTGGCCAGCAGAGGGGCAGACTTCTCTCCAGTAACTCCAAGACAACTCCAAGTGGACTGGTGGCATGTACAACCACCAAGTCTTTGATTTAAAGCAGGAAATCAGTCTTTTCTGTTTCCTTCCCAGTGTTCCACAGGATTATTTTTACCTCCCTGGCTGCAACAGAACAGACATGCTGACTGTTGTAGGAAAGAGGTGATGCATTTTGCATTTAGAGCAACAGTGGCTACAGAAGATCCATTATCTAAGCTGTTAAATAGTTTATGGCATGAGTACATAGATGCTCTCCACTGAGACCAGCTTCCATTGTGTTTCCCATTGTATGAAAGGTAACAAGAGCCAGCTCTGACATGAATGATTTTTGTAGGGCTAAATTCTGTATAGACAACATGGGTAAAACATATTCAAGGAAACACAGAAACCAAAACTAAGTTGCTCAATATCATTCAGCAAGTCATCAGCAAAGTTGAGAATGGAATTGACATCTCCTAGGTTCCAGTCCAGTTCATAACTGGTATCCTTCAAGGTGCATAGCTCCTTTTTTCTCATATGTCATTTTTAATGTAACCTGTGCAAAAATCTGAGAAACAGTCATAGTTGTACTTACTATTTAGCTAATTGAAAAAGGTTCAGCAAAGTGTGGCACTATGTTGAAAAACTGTACTGAACTACAGCTAATTTTGATAATTTGTGAGTTAATCTAAACTGTGACTTTTCCAAACCTTTCTTTCAGTTTGCTTGGCTGCAGTGGAGTACCTGAAATTATGTAGTGTTCTGTCTCCTATTATTCATGCACTTACTTTCTACAGTCATCTGATTACAAGTACTTCCTCAGGAGAATGTAGAGTGTGTGTATTCTGTATTCTGATTTACATATGTTGTGCTCTCGCTGAATCATTTCCCAGTCTCCTTTCATATCCCTGAATAATCAGATGCTGACATTGAACCAAATCATGAGTTTTATTCCATAAGGGAATTCCTGTTTACAGGCACAAAATATTGTGTTTAAAGACTGTTTCTTACAGTCATTGTAACTTTGTGGGATTAGGGCCTCGTTATTGGTATTTCACATCAAGAAATTTGACTAGTTAAGGAACTTTTGGAATTATGTTCATTGAAGAAGAAAGGCCAACGAATTTCCATGCTCTAAACAGGAAAGCTTCTAGCAGTGACTTCTCCAGACTGAATAATAGACACAATTTTAGCATATATGAATTCTGCCCTACTTTTGGGAGGAACCAGCAATTCTGAATGACTGCATTTCAGGAGATGTGAAAAGAGGAAGCCACTTGAGAATATTTGGTTTTGACTGTGTGAATTCACCATGCACTTGAATTAAAAAACTTCTCAGCTGAAGGTTTCATCATTCAATTTGTCTAGACAGATAACAGCATTTGGAAAGAAAGGTCTTCTAATTAATTTTGTTTCGTGACTTAAGGAAACTAAATTATATGAATACTCTGTGTTCAGTGGTGCTCAACAGTTGACAGTGAGAATTGTGATGAGAAAACTAGTAATTTAAAAGTAGTTGACATTTGAATTCTCAAATTTCCTACCAAACTAAAATTTATTTAGATGAAAGCTTTATGTCCATAATCGAACCATTGCCCACTGCTGTATTTTGACCTATGTTCCTGGTTTCTATCCATCAGGACATGTTCCCTGACTTAAACTGTAATTGGATTTACTCAGTTTTGCTCCAAATTTAGGCTTGCTGTAGCTTCATTACTGTCTTTTGTCTGCCTCCATCTCCATTGGTGCAATGTAAGCAAATATAGATTGTTTTTAGCTGAGAGTTTGCTTAGCAATGGAATCTGTAGTCAGTTACAGTCCAAATCATTATAGACAATGAAGACAGACATTTTTGTGTGTGTATATATATACACCTGTGTGTATATATAAGTAATATATATATATGTATGTATTTGATTTTTTAAAGTTAGTACAGTCGAAATCTTAGCAGTCTAATTCAAGAATCATTATTAATCTAGATCTCTTGCAGGAAAAAGAAAGAATAATACTGCAGTTAAATTACTTTGCAAACACTTTTTAGCTTCTCCCCATTTGGGGCAGTTATGCTCACCCTTACACTGCTCCTTGGTGTCCCAAGGTCAGTGGTCTGGTTCTGGCAAGGTTGTCAGCAGTTGTAGTCCTGTCCTAGGAGGAACAGGATGTTCATATTGATTGCTCCATGTTCCTCCCTCTAGGATCCACTATTTGGGATCATTTTTCTACATTTGTTAACCTGCTTTTACTCCTTTGCCTTTTCTTTGTTGGTTTGCAGCTCCATGAGACATCTGGATTTATAATGTATGGTGCATTTTACATGTACTGGACATTGGTTTTTTGTTCTCTCAAATACCTCTAACCCCAGTTTTGTCGAGGTCTGCATTTTGCTGCTGATCATGGCTGAGTTGTTTACAGTTACCAGTGCCAATTTTGTGCCTCATCTCCTACCATCCCATCTCATCTCTATACCACATCTTGTGTTTTAAGGCACAGCTCTCTTAAGGATCCTGCTGTTTGACCAGGCCTGTATCTCTGCATATTAGATCCTTATTAGTCTTGTAAGTATCTCAGTATACATTGAGTAACCACTTTTTACAACTATCTGCATAAAACTATCCTTGTTCAAAGACCAATCAAAGTAAAACAAATTAGAGGTATTGAACTGGTCAGTTGGAAGAATCACAAACACAGCTGTTCCAATTGAAACAGAGATATATTCAGACAAAGCACAGCTGACAAGCCTCAGGACTTGTGAAGCCTTGCAAATTCAGTGTAAAGTTTATGGCCTGTTGGTGGTAGCTGTATTGCAGAGCTGTAAGATTGCAGCTTCCAAAACTTCTAAAAAACGCACTGACTCTTTTTCCTGTACCCAGTATACTGCTCTTAATGCCTTCGAAAGGTACAAGTCATTAACACCATGGCAATATTCCCATGTGTCAGAAAAGAAGGAAGATCTTGTTGCTGAAGTCTGGTGTCTGTGATCTGTCTGTTGTGTGATCAGCAATACTCATTTAAAGAGGACTAATGTTTCCACACTTGCCGAAATGGTGAATTGCAGTTGCCAAGTGTCTGACTGTGTGTGGGCTGAAGAGTGGTCAAACAGCCATCCTTCAGAGCAGCAAGCAGTGCCACTGCAGGGTGAGAAGGAATGGATGAAAACAGGAGATGCACCTCACAGGACAGAAAATTAGTCTCTTTGCTAAAGACACGGTTTGAATACAGAGGACTTGTTGCCTGTGCATCTGGTGCAGCCTATGCTGCAGTGCTGGTGGATGGGAAGAGACCACTGACTTTGTGAACTGAGCAGAACAGGCTCTGTGGTGTTACAGCAGCCTGTGGGGATCTTGGCTCTGATGGCAGGGCTCCATGAGGAATAGCTTGATTATTACTGATTTCAGCAACTGAAAAGATCATGACTATGGGGGTACGCTGTTGGAGAGTGGAATATCAGAAAATTTGCTCTCTGAGCCTACTTATGGTTTTCTTATTTTTTCTACCTGGTCCTCAGGCAGCATAGGGGTGGAGTTGTTCCACAGAATACCTTCTTGAGTTTCTGCCACAGTGTAATATGTATAGATTCTACAAATACAAATTCTTTTACAAGTCGTAAAAGAGTTGAAAAGTAAATAGAGCCATTGAAATAATATTTATTGACATTATTTAGAAAGGTTTTAAACATTTGTTTTAATTAGCAGCATCTGGAACCAAAGTTTTGCATTTCTTTAATGTGATCATGATGATTTATTCTTTAGCTTTTCTTAGGCAGGTCACAATACAGTGGA